AATAAGGCAATAAGTGGAAATAAAACAGAATCATTTAAAACAAAAACAAAAAAAAAAACCTCAATCCAAAAGAAGACATAAGAAGAGGAAAAAAGAAATACATTGCAGATGAGAGAAATGGGGGGTTAAAAAAAGGAAGGAAAGACAGGAGATGTAAACCTAACCATATCATTGTATTAAATTAAATAGTTTAAGCATCTCAACTGAGATAGATATTGTGAGACTCGATTATATGCTATGTACAAAAAAACCCATTTTAAATGTAAAGACACAAATAGGTTAAAAGCAAAAGCAAGGGAAAAGATATATCATGCAGAATTTAATTAAAAGAAAGCTGGAGTGGCTCTATTTATACCAAACAAAGTAGACTTCAGAACAAGGAACATTATCAGGGATAAAGAAACATTTCATAATGTTAAAAGGGGTCAATTCATCAAGAGGACATTATAATACTAAATGTGTACAAAACTAATACCAAAGCTTCAAAATACACGAAGCAAAAACTGATAGAAGTCACAGGATAAATAACTAGAGTTGGGAGAGTTCAACAGTCCTCTCTCAGTAATTGACAGAACAAGCAGAAAGAAAATCAATAAGGAGATAGAAGACCTGAACAACACTATCAACCAACTTGACCTAACTAACGTTTATTGAACCCTTCAGCAAACAGGAGCAGAATATTCATTCTTTTCAAGTGTATATAAAATGAGAATCATAGCAGACCGCATTCTGGACCATAAGTCAAGTCTCCATAAATTTAAGTAGACTGAAATTATACAGGGTGTGTTCTCTGACCACAACAAAATTAAACTAGTTATCAGTAATAAAGAGAGATATGTGGAAAATCCACAAATACTTGGAAAATAAACAACGTACTTTTAAAAAACCAAAAAAAAAAAGACACCACAAAGTGGAAAATATTTTGAACTTAATGCAAATAGAAATACAACATATCAAAATTTGTGCAAGTTAAGAAAAGATTCACTAATAAACTCATATTACAGCAGAGTTTAGCTGAACCAAATCTATTTGGTAATTAAGTAATGATTAAATATGATGGCTGTTATTCATCATTACAGAAAAACGCTTCACTTGCCAATATTTATTGAGACCCTCCTTGGAAGCAAAGAACTGTGCTGGCTACTATTGGGGATACGAAGAAAGAAAACACACACTCCATTTATCTGCCAGGTAAAATTAAGGCCTGTACCCAAACGTCAAAACCAAGATGGAAGAGATATCAAGGCTATGCAAAAGTGAAGGCAGCAAGATGCCTCCCAGACAGGATAATCCCAGGAGGCTCTCTTAAAGAGGAAGCATCTGGCCTGGGCCCAGAAGCCGGCAGTGGATAGAGCTGTCAGAGTGGAAAAAAGTTTCTAGGCAGGGACACAGCTTGACCAAAGGCAGAAAGACCAAAAGGGCAGGCAGCAAGTTCAGGGAACAATAGCTAATTCAGTATAGACGACATGTGGGAGAGGAAGCTGGGAACTCCACTGTGAGGGCCCAGAGTGACTTGCAGACTGGACTTGGAGTCAGAGAACGAAGGTTTGAGACTTGGATCTACTCAACAGTAGATGTGACCATGATCAAATTTGTCCATTTCTGAGGCTCATTTTATTCCTTTGTAAAGTACACTGAAACCATCCCTACCTGCCACTCAGCTGCTGTGGAAGCAACTGTACTATACACACCATGAAGCACTATATTAATATAAAGGCGATGGAAGGTATTTAAGGCTTTGGTGAGCAGAGAGGTGACCGAGGGGAACAGGGGCTGAAGGAAGATGAATGACACCATAACAATGTGAATGCTGGATGAGAAGTGAAATAATGTGAAAAAAGGTTAGTGTGAGAGTGCAGGCAAAGAGTAACAAGGGACTCAGCCAATGTGCTGGAGTGGCAGCCAAAGGAACTCTGATGAGATGGGACGGGTGACTGATGAGAATGGGATGGAGTCAGGGAGGAGGAAAATGGAACAGGATATGAAACGGGATATCGCAAAAACTCCAACCCCCAAACAGAGAAGTGAGAAAACACAGCTGATTTTGGTGCAGAAGGTACAATGCTTCTAAACGAACTTTTACCCATACTATAAGACACAGCTGACTTTAGGAGGAAAAGCTGCCATGTAATAAAATATTTAATCATAGAAACTATGCATCTATTCTAAAAGCATCTGCCACATAACTTCTATATACTATTACACAAATGTTAATCAAAAAACACTGCATCTGAATTTCACCTTATCATTTCTATAATGCTTTACAAAATACTGTAAATGAAATGTGCAAAAACCTAGAGTTAGAAAAACAAAAGGGAAGAACATGCTCAGCATTTCTCAAGCTGAAATAACTGAAGAAAAAATTCAAGCCTCGAGTTGCAATACTGAAGGAGTCTATGGATAAAATACTGAATGACACAGGAAGCATCAAAAGAAGATGAAAGGAATACACAGAGTCACTGAAACAAAAAGAACTGGTCGACGTTCGACCATTTCAGGAGGGAGCGTGTGATCAGGAGCTAATGATATTGAAGGTAAAATCCCAAGCTGCACTGAAGGCACTGGTGAAAAACAAGGCTCCAGAAATTGACAGAATACCAATTGAGATGTTTCAACAAACAGATGCAATGCTGGGAGTGTTCTCTCATCTATGTCAAGAAATTTAGAAGACAGCTACCTAGCCAACAGACCGGAAGAGATCCATATTTGTGCTCATTCCAAAGAAAGTGATCCAACAGAATGCAGGAATTATCGAAAATTGTTATTAATACCACACACAAGTAAAACACTGCTGAAGATCCTTCAAAAAATGGCTGTAGCAGTACATCAACAGGGAACTGCCAAAAATTCAAACCAGATTCAGAAGAGGAAGTGGAATGAGGGATATCATTGCTGATATCAGATGGATCTTAACTGAAAGCAGCAAATACCAGAAAGATGTTTACCTGTGTTTTACTGACTATGCAAAGGCATTTGACTGCGTGGATCATAACAAATTATGGATAACATTGCAAAGAATGGGAATTCCAGAACACTTAATTGTGCTCATGCGGATCCTATATACAGACCAAGTGGTAGTCATTCGAACAAAACAAGGACATACTGAGTGGTTTAAAATCAGGAAAGGTGTGCATCAGGGTTGTATCCTTTCACCATACTTATTCAATCTGTATGCTGAGCAAATAAATGAGAAGCTGGACTATATGAAGAACATGGCATTAAGATTGGAGGAAGACTCATTAACAACCTGCGTTATGCAGATGACACAACTTTGCTTGCTGAAAGTGAAAAGGACTTGAAACACTTAAACTAATAAAGATCAAAGACGACAGCTTTCAGTATGGATTACAACTCAACATAAAGAAAACAAAAATCCTCACAACTGGACCAACAAGCAACATCATGATAAATGGAGAAGAGACTGAAGCTGTCAAGGATTTCATTCTACTTGGATCCACAATCAACGCCCTGGAAGCAGCAGTCAAGAAATAAAATGATATGCTGCACTGGGCAAATCTGTGCAAAAGACCTCTTTAAAGTGTTAAAAAGCAAAGATGTCATCTTGAAGACTAAGGTGCACCTTACCCAAGCCATGGTATTTTCAATTGCCTCATATGCATGAGCAAGCTGGACAATGAATATGGAATACTGAAGAATTGATGCTTTTGAATTACGGCGTTTGCGAAGAATACTGAACATACCATGGACTGTCAGAAGAACAAACAAATCTATCTTGAAAGAAATACAGCTAGAATGCTCCTTAGAAGCGAGGATGGCGAGACTTTGTCTCACTTACTTTGGATATGTTATCAGGAAGGACCAGTCCCTGAAGAAGGACATCATGCTTGGTAATGCAGCGGGTCAATGAAAGAGGAAGACCTTCAATGGGATGGACTGAAGTAGTGGCTGCCAACAATGGGCTCAAACATAGCAATGATTGTGAGGATGGTGCAGGACTGGGCAGTGTTTCGTTCTGTTGTACATGGGGTCACTATGAGTCAGAACTGACTTGACGGCACCTAACAACGTAAGTCTTTATCCATGTTGTGTTTTTAATAGAAGACTGCAATAAAGCAAAAAACATGAAAGGAGGCACCACTGAGAACTGCTACTGTGTTCTTAGAGATGCATTAGAATTCATCATCGAATAGACCTCTGGGGCTGAACCGGCAGAGCCAAAGGGGGTAAAGAGTAAAAAAGATCAGTATGATGGCAACAAAAAAGAACAGAATCATTGATCACCTAGTTCCCTGGTTTTAAAAACAATCATTAAAAAATGCAGTCCATTAAGAAAGCCCAATCACTGACCCTATCAGACTTGCAGACACAATAGAAAACACCATTCCTGAATAAAGTATAACTGTATGGGCTGTGACTTATGTTTGGATGAATACAATGCCAATTGCTGTTTCAGTACTCACTACCTATGGCGACCAGGCTGAAGAGTAAGACTTTATTTCAGTCCAGTAGAACTACTCTCAGGTACTTGGGCCTGGCTCACTATGTGACAAACAGGATGATCACATTTCAAACTGATGTTAGAAAAATATATTTGAATAATGTTAACTGCAATTTGCTTTTAAATGATTTCCAAATACAGTAATAACACCTAATGTGAAACTAAACTAGTATGATTAGCTTATTCCAGTAAACTCAACAGGCAAAGGTTTATTGTTTTGTGTGAACTGAGAAGGAAAAGCCTTTCCAAGTTTATCTAAGAGACATTATTTAGGACAGTATGTATTACATGCCCATTTATAAGCTACTTTTAAGCCAATCACAGGAGCTATTAGAGGTCTGCCACTACAGCTTTTTGCTACCATACTAAATTTCTGCCCAGAATTAGGGTTAGTTTAAAAGTGTACTTGTAGAAGGAAATGCTAACTAGCATCCTGGGAGTAACTGATTCAATTTTTTTGCTGTGGCATGGGAAAACAAACCTCAAAAGGCAATAAAAAGAAGGGAGAGGGAAATATCTGGATAGGCTCCAGAGAACTCACCCGTGCAAAATCAAACGCATATCTGTAAATAAGTTTAAAGTTTGTAGAATCATTTAATAATGATCTTAAGTAATCCAAGGTATTTCTTAGTTTTTCTGTTGTATCACATCTAGGAAAACAGAATAAAGGCAAATTATAACCTGAGTTTTTTCTTAATTGGGACAGTAATATAAAACACAATGGCAAAAGAAAAGAATAAAAACCTTAAAATTGGAACACATCCATGCTAACCTATTTTTCTACACTTAAAAAAAATTTCCAAACATACAGAAGAGCTAAAATAGTAAATAAGCACCCATATACCTAACCTTTCATTCGCCAATGAACATTTTGTCACATTTGTGTGCACTTCCTCTCACACACAGGTGCCAATTTTTGTCTGAACTATTTGAAAGTTGCAGACATTATGACACTTCATCCCTAAACACTTGAACACCCCCAAGTACAAAGGTATTCTACTTAACCACAATACCAACATCACTCTTAAAGTGTCCTAATATTAACTTTCTTATCTAATATATAATCTACATGCAAATTTCCCAACTGTCCCCAAAATTTCCTTTATAGCCATTTCTTTTCAATCCAGGATCCAATCAAAGATCATGCATTGCTTTTCAGTTGTCCTATCTCATCACAGAAGAGAGTCTTGTCTTTTTCTTCCTTGACATTGTAATTTTTTGAAGTGTCCAGACCAGCTGCTTTGTAGAATCTCAATCTGCCAGATAATTTCCCATGACTATATATAGGTTACACCCTTTTGACAGGAACACTACATGTAACGTTGTGTCCTCAGTGCACCCCATCAAGAGGCTTGTAACATCAGTCTATTCCATTATCGGTGATATTATGTTGGATCATGCGGTTAAGGTGGTGTCCACCAGATTCCCTATTGTAAATGTACTTTTTCCCCCTTTGAAAAAATAAGTAAACTGTGGGATGATACTTTGAGAATGTGAATATCCTGTTCCTCAATAACCTTTTGAATCCAATGGTTTTAGAATCCACTGATGATATCTGCCTGGGTAAAATTACTGCATTGGTAGATGCAAAATTGTGATTTCCCAGTTCTATCATTCCTTCTACATTTATTGGCTGGAATTCTTTTGTGAAGAGTTCTGTCCACCACCTTTTTTATTTTCTAGATTTATGGATTTTAGCTTTAATTCAGTGTGTTACAATCGGTTACTGTCTTTAATTTTTTTTTAATGTACAAACTGTCCCAGTATGGGCTGTGGTCCCTTCAAGCTGGCTTCAGTGTCCTTCTGATACGTCCCCATCGGTCTTTAAGCAATTCCTTGCTTTCTGGAACAAGATGTCCCTGCTCACTTTGCACTTTCTCTACCCCAGATTTGAGATCAGCCATTTCTCCAGGGAGCCATGGTGATGCTAACCTATTTTTAATAATGACACACTGTTTACTTTTCATACGGAAGTAGACTAATTGGTTGTTTTCACAAATTAGTTTTCTGTTAGCAATATCTAGCCCTTAAAATTAAGTACCAAGAGTCACTATTTTTGCCAACAATACAAAAAGCTTTTCAATGATGGATATGTTTCCTCATGTTTCCCTGTAGAGCTTTTACCTACTACTATAAATAATATATATTGCAAGTATTATCTATTTTACATACATTATAAACTAAAATATGGTTCATAATAAAGTACACTGACTTATTTTTCAGTAATAAAGTTGTAAAAGTTCCTTTTTTTATATCTAACTACAAATAAGTCCCCGTGATCTCTCTATTGAGATAAGAAACCATTTAAAAGCCTACAGTTAGAGTAAATATTTAATTTCTATGGGTCCAGAACAATTTACAATGTTCTTTATTTATTTCTGATGTTTGATAATAAAAAGGTTAAGTCAGAAAAGGGAATGACACACAAGCTGAGAAGTGAAAGATAAGCATAAACGAGATTTTAGGGGAGGAGAAAGGGTTATTCAGATACAAGCAGCAGCAGCGCAAAGGACCAGAAGCAGAAGGGAGCACGGCCAAGTCCAAGGGACTAATAGAAAATCATTATAACTTGAGTGGAAAAAATACGAGGATAAGTGTAAGATAAGGCTGAGAGGGATGTGGAGCAAGGCCACAAAGGGCTTCTGTGGTCCACAGTAATTTTTTTTATTAAATCCTAGAAACAATGGAAGCCGCCTCCCATCGTGGGAGAGAGCATGACCGACTTGCATCTTGAAAGGCTCTCTCTGACTCTCTGTGGAGAAGGGCTTGCAAAAGGAAAAGAAGAGATACCAACAGCCCAGTTAGAGACCTAGTGTCAAAACCCAAATGAAGGGTGATGGAGACTAGAACACACAAGAAAGCAGTGAGTAGGAGACTGGGAGGCAGGAATGGGAGCAGGGCTTACTTTGCATTGGGTGCGGTATTCCATTTTTTTTTTTAAACCATGTGTATATAAGTAATTAATAATTTATTATTAATAATAATGATGATGATGATGGGGGAGGGTCAAAGAGGAGGGAAATCAGCAAATCCAAAAACATACAAAGCCCAGTTCCCTGCCCTTCACTAGAAAGGAAGGTTAAGACCAAAGCCACAAGAAATCTGCCAGATTTTGGCTAGAGGTTTAGCTTAATCCTGCCTTGTGAGGGGAAGAAGAGCAGATGTTTGTTTGAACAGACGCAGGAGCAGAAACCACTCATTAAGAGAACCACTGCACAGCTAAATAGAAATAAAGTAGCTGTGAGTCTTTGGGCAGTGCAGCAAGGCCCAATGGGAAGCTCTGCAGCGTGTCTGGGAGCAAGTCCAGCCACCCTGGCAAAAAGATGTCCCTGTGATTGAAAGATACCCCAGAGGTCTTCTCCAGAGTGTAGAAAACTAAGTTCCCTTATTTTAAGTATAAAATGCACAATGTACCATTTCCATTTACCTATTAAGGATGGTTACATGGCTTACAGCTAATATTGTCAATAAAGAGTTTAATCTGCTTTAGCTGGAACCCTGTCCCACAGAGCCACTAGACTAATTTCCATTAGGGAAACAGGCTGAGTCACTGGGTCCAGAAGGAACCGCAGGCTGCCATCTAGTGGCCTCTCCACGAGAACATCTGCCACCATCACTACCCACTGCTACTGAGTCGATTCCAACTCATACTGACCTTACAGGACAGAGTAGAACTGCCCCATAGGGTTTCCAAGGCTGTAAACCTTTACGGAAGCAGACTGCCACATCTTTCTCCCGAGGAGTGCCTGGTGGGTTCGAACCGCCAACCTTTCGGTTAGCAGCCGAGTGCTTAACTACTGTGGCACTAGGGCTCAGAACGTTTGCAGAGGAATTCAACCCTGCTGGGGCAGTGGTTAAGAGCTCAGACTGCTGACCAAAAGGTAAGCAGTTCGAATTCACCAGCCGATCCTTGGAAACCCCGTGGAGCAGTTCTACCCTGTCCTGTAGGGTCACTATGAGTCGGAATCGACTCGATGGCAACGGGTTTGGTTTTTTTGTTTTGTTTTGTGAAGAAGCAGGCTTGGGAAGTTCAAGCAACTAACTTAAGACTTATTATAAAGTAGCCATATCTTAAACCCGAGTTTCCTTCCATGCTTTTCTCTATTCCACGTACAATAAAACTCATCATAGAGTGACAGTACCACATCTCTAAGAAGCGTAACGTCCCAAAACAAACTAGGCACATGATGTGAAATTGTTTGAGTTTTGCTACTGTAACAGATTCAGAAATAACAGAAATTAGGACAATAATCCCCAAAGGTGATAAAATCAGGCCCCTTGGCAAAGTTAATTTACTGTTAGGCATTTTATATCAAACTTTTCCAGCTTTATGCCTTTGAGGCTTGCAGAACTGCCTTTATGTAATTCCCACACACTGACAGCTGTTGCTCCTGACAGACGGCCAGGCCACACGTGGTGAGGAGGGGCGGGGGGAGCATTAGTGAAACTGAGGTAGCCCCTCCATTACCAGGGGAAAGGCCTTAGCCCCTTCACTCAGTCAACCCAAACGTATTTTTCCAGTCTATCATCAGTTCTATGCAGAGTGAACTACAACTCTAACACACTTTTTATTTTTAGCTTCAACACCTCTATTAGCTTAATTCACCAGAGATAACCTGAAGCCTGAGTGTTGGAATAGGCAATAAATAAAATAGTCAATCAAAATAAGAGCTGTCTGTTCTCTGACTGAAATGGATCCCTACCAGCTATTCTCATTTCTTCCAATACTCTCACAAAACAGCAGCCATTCCAGACTGATGGACCTTATGAAGCTCATGCACACAGTTCCTCTGCACAGCATCAAGGAGACAGATTCTGAGTACCCAGGTGCGAGCCCCATTTCATCCTTAGCCTCTGGAGACACTCACTACCAGAGACACTCAGGAAGTAGCAGAACTAATTCAAAACCCCCTCTGGTTCCAAAACCCATGGACTTTCTATTTCTAGCACACTCCTACTGTATAGTAAAATTTTTTTAAACTTAGCTTTTTGACTAAATATATTAATATATATAAATACGGGTTTTGTCATATAACACTAACTCCAGTTTGAGTCCAAAACATTTCATTGGACAGGTTTAATAAAACTAAAAATGAGAAGGAAAATAAAAAAATTTCAAAATATGAGACACAGCAAATTAACACAAAAGATGAACTACTTTTCATCTTTAGAGCATGTAAATAATTCTCTGAGTTTTCATATTTACTGGGTACACATATTTTACAAATACAGTACTTATTTAGTCAATTTAAATGGCATAAACAGAAAAGTCTTATTACTTTTGGATCTTTTACTTCAACATTTTTTCCAAGCCCCTACCCCTCATGGACTTTGATCTTGGTCATGGCTTCTGTTTCCCCAGGACCTATAATACTACGCTTAGCATATCACTGTCATTTCAGTATTTATTGAACAAAGTCCTCCTCTTAAGCCTTGAAAAGAAAATCCTGGTATTGCCACGTGCTCATCATTGCAGGGAAACTTAAACTAGAGCAGCCATCATATGTTCTATTTGGAAATCAACAAAGAAAGGCAGCAAGGAAAATAAGAACCAGGAGGCTTAAAAATATCAAGAGATGTTCCCCCAAATGACAAACAATTTTAAGGAGATTCTATTCTAGAAAGACTTAACCTTAGAATTCTAGAGCATGCCAACAGGAAGTGTATTTGTCAGACAATGGTTTGGCTTTTACTTAAAACTCTTTTGCCATCAGGCAATAGTTGCTAAAGGAACGTGTCTTAAGAATTAGAAGTCTTGAGTTTTTACTTTCACAAGTCATGTATCCCCATCCCCTCTAAGCCTCAGTTTCCTCGTTTGTAAAATGTGCAGGATGAAGCCTGATCTGTCTTCCTCACAAAGTAGCTGTGAGGTGCAAATGGGAGAACAGTGAAAAGGCTTCATAAACTACTAAAGCACAATGCAAATAAAGCATTGTTACTCGTATCAAATGGATGATGATATTAAAAACTGATAAACTGCAAAATTACTTAAATAAAAGCATAAACTCATTTCTACTCCAATTTTAATCCAGTGAAAATTAAAGTTTATTATTCCTGAAGTAAAAAATGAAGTCATTCCAAGTATTTAAGATCAAAGTTAGTCTGTTAAGAATTAGCACTGTATTTTTCAATGCCATTTGACATGTCTAGTTACCCACCTCAACTGGATCTTTCAGTGTATAATATGCAATAACAATTTGTTTTCTCGAGAGAAACTCAGCAAACACACACGTGCACATACATGCACAAACACACACAAAGTGAACACATAAAACCATTGATCTTTTTCTTATTCTGGACCAAGTAACACAAATATTATTATTATTTTTTAATCACTAGAGCAGTAAAGTTCTAATTTTACCCAAAGCTAAAATCAGGATACATAAAATAGAATGTTATCAAATATTTTCACTTATGAGTTATACGTTACTCAACTTTTTCTCACTGACTGTAAACCAGATGCTAATTAATGAGCCTTTGCTTTTTTTTTTTTAATTGTACTGTAGATGAAGGTTTACAGAACTAGCTTCTCATGAGCCTTTGCTTTTTTAAGCTCTAGACTTACACTGTCCAAATTGGCAGCCACTATACACATGTGAAGGAGCCCTGGTGGCTGCTAACCAAAAAAGTCAGCAGTTCAAACCCACCAGCTGCTCCACAGGAGAAAGATGTGGCATTGTGCTTCTGCAAAATTTACAGCCTTGGAAACCCTATGGGGTAGTTCTACCCTGTCTGTAGGGTCACTATGAGTCGGAATCATCTCAATGGCCGTGGATTTGGTTCTAGTTTGGTAGGCATATGTGACTGTGGGCACCTGAAATGTAGCTAATGTGAACTGAGTGTGCTGTTTAAGTGTAAAACACACATCAGATTTTGAAGACACAGTATGAACCAAAGAATGTAAAATATTTCATTATTAATTTTTTATATTTATTACATGTCAAAATGATATTTTGCCTATATTAAGCTTTTAAAATATATGATTAAAATTAAATCTACCTGTTTCTTTTCTTTTTTTAATGCAGCTACTAGGAAATTTAAAATTACATATGTGGCTCACATATGTGAGAAAAGGTTGGTCTGTTTCTATTTGACAGAGTTGCTCTAGAAGAATATGAAATAAACAATACATATATACATTATATGAAAACCTTAAGTGATAAAAGATTCATCCATATTAGTTCTCCTTATCATATAAACACAGGTCTTGGTCTTTACATCTTTGGACACTTGCCCAGTCCACCTGTTTTCTTCCACTCACCCAACCCAGGCTCCCTGAGGTCCCAGGGAGGAGGCAACCACCTGGAGAGAACAGGGACCCCATTAGTACAGCCTCAAGACTTACTGGAGAGAAGTCATTCCTTTTAACCATTCCTGTAGAGTAAAATAACCCATGTTTTGTGCATCCAATTTCCAGGCTAGGACAAGCATAACTACCTGTTTGGGAGGAGAAAAAAAGGGGAAGAAAGATCAGATTGGAACGACAACTTTCAGCAACTGAATACATGATAAGTACATGAATATCTTGCCAAATCTGTTCATGGTAGTTTAGCAACTGAAATATGAACACATTAACTCTTCAAACATAAGTTTCAGTTTGGCAAACATCTAAAAGTCTGATAACACACTCTGCTGACAAGGGTTTGGAGAAACACGTACTCTTATTATGCATGATGGTAGAAGTACACAGTTTGTAACCTCTCCAGAGGGCAATCTGGCAGTATCTACCAAAACTAAAAGCAGTTATTGACTCAGCAATTCCACCTATGGAAAGTTATCATATAGACATATCTGTACATGTATACAAAGAGAAATATTCAACAGTATTTACTGCAGCACTATTTTTAATAGCAAAACACTGGAAACAACCAAGAATAAGAGAACAGCTAATACTTTTTGCTGACTATATTCCATACAAAGGAATACTATGCCAACAATTAAACAAAGTACAACTATTTGTACAAATATGGAACAATCTCCAAGATTTATTATGTGAAAAAAGCAAGGTACAGAACAGTATATAAAATATAAAAAGACAGGTGCTAGGAGATACACAGTGGAGTTGTATCTCACATATATTAACATTTGTGAATTTAACTATATACATGAGGGGAAATTATTTTAAAGTAACCCAACATTCCATATAAACAGTGCTGTGCCTGGAATGAGCCCAAGATGAGTGTCATGGCCCAACGTCTTCTCAATGGGAGGCAGTACACCCTTGTGCCACTTGCACTGTGAGTCCCTCCCCAGGCTCTGAGTCACTACAGGGTTTTCTAAGGGTAAATTTGACTATATATGATTTTCACTTATGTGTTTATTTTCTTAATGCTCCTATAACAGAAATACAAATGAGGGGTTTTAACCAACAGAAATCTATTTTCTCACAGTTTAAGTGGGTGGAAGTCTGAATTCAGGGCACTGGCTCTAGGGGAAGGCTTCTCTCTGTCAGCTCTGGAAGAAGGTCTTTATCTCTTTTTTAGCTTCTGTTCCTCAGTTCCTGGGTGATCTCCATGTAGCATGGCATCTATCTTCCCCCATCTGTGCTTCCTTGCTTCTGTGCCTAATCTGCTCTTTTATTATTTCAAGTGATTGGGTTTCAGACACACCTTACACTGACACTGCCTCATTAACATAGCAAAGAAAGTTCTATTCCCAAATAGGATTATATCCACAGGTATAGAGATTAGTATTCCAACATATGTTTTGGGGGGACACAATTCAATCCATAATATTCTACCCTCTGGACCCCCAAAATTCATGTCCTCCCCACATGCAAAACATTCACCCTATCACATCATCTCAAAAGTCTTATTCCACCCCAGCCTCAACCCTAAGTCCAAAGTTCATCTTCTGAATCATCTAAATCAAGTATAACTCTGGGTGTGTTCCATCCTGTGGCAAAATTCCTTTCCATCTCTGAACCTGTAAAACCCAGAATACAAGGTAACTGCTTCCAAAGTACGATGGTGGAACAAGCATAAGGTAGACATTTCCATTATAAATGGGAGAAATGTCAGAGTGCTCCTTGGAAGCAAGGATTACAAGAATTCATCTCATGTACTTTGGACATGTTAACAGGAAAGACCAGTCCCTGGAGAAGGATATCATGCTTGGTAAAGTAGAGGTCAGCAAAAAAGGAGATGGACTGATACAGTGGCTGCAACAATGGGCTCAAATATAGCAACAATTCTGAGGATGGCACGAGATCAGGCAGTGCTTAATTCTGTTGTACATAAGGTCACTATGAGTCGGAACCAACTCAATGGCACCTAACAACAACAAGAAGCAAGTCCACAACCCAGCAGAGCAAATTTCATTAGCTCTCAAGGCTTGAAAATAATCCTCTGTTCTCCAGAACCATCTGGGCAATGGCTCCACCCACCAAACTCTGGGTGTTGGCCATGGTCTCTGGATTCTGGAGGTACCTCGGCCCTGGGGGTCAGCCCCGCTTTCCAGGCTCACTGCAATGGCAACCCAGCTCTACCGGCTTTGGGCAGCCCATTCTCCTGGTCCATTTGAGTGGTGACCCCACCCCATCAATCCCCTGTGGCTCCATTCTCCCCACCCCCTCAGCTTTCGGCAGCAGCCCCATTCTCTTGGCCCACACATACAGCAGGTCCACTCCTGAACAGAGGTGGTGAAGACCTGACTTTGAAACTCAGGAGGTGGTTTTTCTACCCTTTGAATAGAAGAGGTGGTTCCATCCATGGAAATGAAGGCAGCTCTGCCTGCCATGGTCCCTCCAATAGTTCTGCTTATCTCCGAACTGTTCCCGGGATGGTGCCCTCCTTTTCTTGGAGGACAACAGATGTTTGCAACCAAGTTGCTCCACTGGTCTGTTTCCTGCCAGTAGAATTCCAGTAGGCAAGCAACTTACCTTCATTTTGTACTCTTTTTCTCTTTCAGATAGAATCTCTGCTGCAGTGACTGATTAGATCTATCAGGCACAGGCTTAAGCTCTTGAACAAAAGACTGAGTAGCCACTCCTTGGTGAATGTTTTCCCAGGATGTATTTCCTTAGTTTGTACAACCGAATTTTCAAAATTTTAAAATTCTGGTCTCCTTTGGCACAGTTCATTTTAAGTCTATCTCTTTTCTTTTGCATTTTACTATTAGCGGCAAGGAGAAGCTATATGGCCCCCTTTAGATTTTACTTAGAAATCTCCTCAGCCAAATATCCAAGTTCATCACTTATAAGTTATATATTCCACAAAACATTTGAACATAATTCAGACAAGTTCTTTGCCGCTGCATAAAAAGCATCACATTCCTTCCTATGTCCAATCACATCTTCACCACGTCTTTTGAAAGTCTCACCAGAAGCACATTTCTTATTCACACATAGCAACATTCTGTTCATCACAATAGAAGCTTTCATAACAGCTCAATTCTTTTTGAGGCCTCTCAGAATTGCCCTTAATGTCCATAATTCTACCAACAGTTTCTCCAAGGCAAACTAGAGATTTACTATGAAGCACATCAAAATTCCTCCAGATTCTACACATTATGTAATTCCAAAACCACTTCCACATTTTAGGTATTTGTTGGAGCAACATCCCTACTTCTCAGTACCAAACTGTCTTAGTTTCTTAGTGCTGCTATAACAGAAATACCACAAGTGGGTGGCTTTAATGAATAGAAATTATTTTCTCATAGTTTAAGAAGCTAGAAGTCTAAATCCAGGGCACTGGCTCTGGGGGAAGGTCCTTGTCTCTTTTCAGCTTCCATTCCTAGGTTCCTTGGTGATCTTCATATGGTGTGGCATCTATCTTCCCCATCTGTTCTTTTTACATCTTCAAAGTAATTGGGTTTAAAGCATACCCTACACTGATATAGCTTCATTAATATAACAAAGAAAACTCTATTCCCAAAAGGGATTATACTGACAGGTACAGGGGATAGTATTCCAATATGTATTTTGGGGACATACAATTCAGTCCATAACTTGTGCCAACTTCCGAACCGAACTCTTTGTGCATTGTGTGTATCTGGGGGAGCTTAGGGAACTATAAAATAGATGCACAAATAAAATAAATGTCTGAGAATGTCTTACACATAACCATTTCAAAGATGAGTCCAGAGCACCTGTGAAGAATATAATAAATAGTCAATTTACCAACTAGCTGCATGTTAAGAGTCCATTTGCAAAGAGGCTATTGCTTTATGAAAAAAATATATTCAGATGTTTAAAATGATGACTGTTTCTGGATCATCCCACAAAAGCATGATTAATTTAAAATGTATTATAATATACTAAGAAAAGCTGAAGTACTGAGCCCAAGACACAAGAAGTAAGTGGAGCAACAGGAACCAAGAGAAAACCATTTGGCACTGAGCCATGTGCGGGGGATACAATGCAGAAGCACACATCCTATCCATGCCCTCACAGAACTCAAAATCTGGCTGGGGTGACATATTTAAAAAAAAGAAATAAAAACAATTTCATGTAAGTCTTTTAAGAAAAGGGAAGGATGCAGGCAGACTATATAACAGGAACATGGAGGAAGGAGATATCAGAACCCTTCACTGAAGAAGTACCATTTAAGCTGGCAGGTAAAGAGTGAGTGGGAGTTGTCTAGGTGAAGAAGATCCCTGGATGGGTCCAAAAACGCTTTATCATCAGCCTCTTGGAAAAAGAAAGTGCCTGGGAGTAGAGGTTGAGAGGGAGACCCCAGCCAAAAGAGGCGGTGAGCAGATGCTATTCACAAATGGTCATTTGAACATTTAGACAACAAGGGTTTATAAGTTAGGGAGAGTCTATGTGCTCCATTTATTCACTGATTCTCGATCTCATTCCTGAAAGGAAGCACAGCAGGATTACCCTGACCTATATTTTCCTTTTTAAATTTTATTATGGTACTTGAAGTGAAAGTTGACAATTCAAGTTAGACTCTCAACAAAACTTTATTTTTCATTATTATGTGACCCTAATTCCTCTCCCTATACTGTGAAAGCACACTCCTCCTTTCCACCCCTGATTTCCCGTGTTCATTCAACCAGCTCCTGACCCCCTCTGCCTTCTCACCTTACCTCCGGACAGGAGCTGCCATTTAGTCTCATGTATCTACTTGAGCTAAGAAGCACACACTTCATAAGTATTAATTTTATGTCCCATAGTCCAGTCTAATCTTTGTCTGAAGAGTTGGTCTCGGAATGGTTTTAGTTCTGTGCTGACAGAGAGTATGGCGGACATGCTTCCTGCGGTTCCTCCAGTCTTAGTCAGACCATTAAGTCTGGTCTTCTTACTAGAATTTGAGTTACATGCCCCACTTTTCTCCTGCTCCATCAGGGACTCTCTGTTGTGTTCCCTGTCAGGGCAGTCATTGGTGGTAGCCACGCACCATCTAGTTCTTCTGGTCTCAGTCTCTGTCTCTTGGGCTAATACTTTCCTTGTGACTTTGGTGTGCTTCACTCTCCTTTACGTCAGGTGGGTT